ATTTATGTGTGCTATGATCTGTCGATGCTCCGCGCTATCTGTGCTGGCTATAGAATTCAACGCAGCTCGGAACAAAAACCTTGAGCTCGACGTGTGTCAAATTGACGTCGATATAATGATTGTATAATGAAACTCTAAAGGAAATGTAAACTGACCCGTTAAAGCTATCACCGATTTGTTTGGTTTTATTTTATTTTGATATAGTACGGTGTATTTTTACTGCACAATTGATATGCGAAGACGTCTCTCTTTAACGATGACGACTCTGCCTTTCATCGTATGCCAATTGTTGGATTGATGCTCTTGATGTCAATCACTAGATTGTCTGGTCGAATTGACAGGCCGATAAACAACATTTGAGCGCGGCGTTAAACAACATTTCCAACTACTTTCACGTATACCTTTGAGAATTATTGTTACCCATTAAACGATATAATATATCCAATGCTTTATGTAGTGTGGTAAAAGCATTCCCTTCATACAGTTGCAATACACCGTGCCATCGGATGTTGGATGCCAGTACTAAATGACAGTTTATGCATACATAGAGTTGAATGCATTAAAAATATATAATACTCAAATTACAACAATCGTGCATTCCAACAAAGCGTGAACGCAAATGAAGGCAGATATTCTAATATCTGCATATCATATATCTGAGACTATTTTCCCCATGACTGATATCTATGTTGAAAATCATAACACGATAATGTAAATATGTTGTGAAACAGATGTACAAATACCGATTAGGCGTTGATTACGAATTCAGTGAACTGGCAGGAAAACAGCTGAAATTTGATATTCCATGTACCAAAATACAATTTTACATCAGCACTAACTGACACAAGTTGTCGAATTAATGGGCGCTTCTACTGCATTAATCTTCATCAGGTATGATATTCTAGAATCATTTTTGTTTCCTCTTTTTCATCGATTTGACAGATGCCTGGCGCGTTAGCCATGTGCATAATGTGATAAATGTAAATTCAGCTTTAATTATGGGATTTTGTATCAGGATACTTCTTGCTTGTGATCGATATAACTATTTGAAATGATTCCATGTTTATTTTTTGTTTTTCAAATCGGAGACTTTGGTATTTATCTTCAAATTAGCATGTGTTGTTTGTCATATCGGAGATTGTGGTATTTATCTTCAAATTAGGAATGTGCTATTTGTCATATCGGAGACATTACTAGTTTTCTTCAAATTAGAATATGTTGTTTTTCATATCGGAGGCACAGTGGTATTAATCTTCAAATTATAATGTGCCATTTGACATATCGGAGACATCGGTATGTATCATTAAATTACAATGTGTTATTTGACATATCGGAGATTGTGGCATTTATCCTCAAATTAGAATATGTTATTTGTCATATCGGTGTTTGTGGCATTTATCTTCAAATTATAATGTGCCATATGACATATCGGAGACATTGGTATGTATCATTAAATTACAATGTGTTATTTGACATATCGGAGATTGTGGTATTTATCCTCAAATTATAATGTGCCATATGACATATCGGAGACATTGGTATGTATCATTAAATTACAATGTGTTATTTGACATATCGGAGATTGTGGTATTTATCCTCAAATTTGAATGTGTTATTTGTCATATCGGTGTTTGTGGCATTTATCTTCAAATTATAATGTGCCATTTGACATATCGGAGACATTGGTATGTATCATTAAATTACAATGTGTTATTTGACATATCGGAGATTGTGGTATTTATCCTCAAATTAGAATGTGTTATTTGTCATATCGGTGTTTGTGGCATTTATCTTCAAATTATAATGTGCCATTTGACATATCGGAGACATTGGTATGTATCATTAAATTACAATGTGTTATTTGACATATCGGAGATTGTGGTATTTATCCTCAAATTAGAATATGTCATTTGTCATATCGGTGTTTGTGGCATTTATCTTCAAATTATAATGTGCCATTTGACATATCGGAGACATTGGTATGTATCATTAAATTACAATGTGTTATTTGACATATCGGAGATTGTGGTATTTATCCTCAAATTAGAATATGTCATTTGTCATATCGGTGTTTGTGGCATTTATCTTCAAATTATAATGTGCCATTTGACATATCGGAGACATTGGTATGTATCATTAAATTACAATGTGTTATTTGACATATCGGAGATTGTGGTATTTATCCTCAAATTAGAATATGTTATTTGTCATATCGGAGACTTTAGTATTATCTTCAAATTAGAATGTGTTGTTTTTCATATCATGTGGTGCTTTCTGCTTGCGCCGGTACAAATTACATATCTGTATGACTGAGTCCCCGTCCTTACGTAACTAACAATTACTGTTAGGAAAGAAATTTCGTTAAAGATATATGGTAAATGGAACGTTCAGTTAACATATGCTGACAGTAAAGTGAAGAGAGAATGTGTTGTGAACCGCATATATTTGGTAGAATGGACTTAGAACGCGCTGGATAGAATGTTGCTGTGCAACAATATGCATATACCATGGAACCTCGTTGATGCAAACACCAATATACCGCAAAACCTCGTTAATGCGGACCATGCCTCTGCTTTAGAATTTGACCGAATTAGTAGGTATAAGGATACGAAGTTGTAGGAAAACCAAGTTCTATGGATAGCCAACTTCTTTATTGCAATGAGTGCGACGTTTCGGTGAAGGTACTGACACCGTTATCAAGCAAGTCATATTGACTGAGAGGCATATCCACAAGTCCATCACCTTGCTCGATAACGGTGTTAGTACCTATACCGAAACGTAGCACTCATTGGAATATAGAAGCTGACTATCTACAGAACCTGGTTTTCCCCCATATTTACAACTTCTAAAATGACTCTCAAAGCAGTTATAGGAAGTTATATTCTGAGTTTTCATATAAACAACCACAAGGTGGACTTTCGTTGTCCAAACTGACTAGGTTTCACTGGGAAAACAAACAAGAAAAACTGAAGACCAAATAACTGAGCCCATACCTATTACAGTGACACGACTACACGAGTTAATGTGAAATTACTTACATGTATATATATATGTGCACAGTCATTTATTAGTAGAGTACAATTAAATTTGTTTTGTCGGTTGAGTCCCATCCGGGATTCGAACCCTAACTCACACAGTCAAGCGCCAAATCGCCAGTAATGTATAATCCAGATATAGCATTTGTTACGTTTATGACTTCCCAATATTGTTCTTTACGCAGTTGTATATGTTTTATATTCAGCACGTCCAAGAGGTAGTGTGTATTATAGATGCCATACCTGTTTCCCGAGCAGTCGGATCGGGTAAAAAAAATTAATATCATTAGGGTCTATATCGCTTTTGCAGATCAAATCCATTAGTTCCATTTATATTCTATTTTAAATATATATACAAGAGAAACTACAAAAATGTGATTCTTTCTAGATTGAGTTCATTCAAATTATAATGCTACACACAGGGGAAAATCAACATACCTAAACACAGACTCAAATATATTTAAAAATTACACATTTGATAACTTATGCATTATGTAATCCCTGGTTTAAATGTAAAATATCGGATATCGCATATCATCTTACATATGGTTTAGATTTTCGTGACATTTTAAAGAGATTTATTTCGGGATTCATTGATATCAGGTAGCGGACCGATTAAAATTTTAACAAGAGTTTTGAAATCATAATTCATCATTCACCCAGCGCCATGTATCACATGTGATTGATATTCAAGCATGTATTAAAAATGCAAGAAATCCACATGCTAAATCTTAATCCAGCCAGATTGATAATGCTACAGGTTCCTCGCTTAGCATATGGTTTACAAGCAAGTAGTTTAATAGGAGATGGTCCTCACAATCGTATAAGGTGACACGCCGTCATCGTGAGAATCGTCACATGTGGAATTTAACATGCGGGTAGTGGGTGGGTAGGGGCAAAAAGTGATCTATCAGGCGCGACCAGGGCTGGAAGACGGAACACGAACCACGGATCGAGGATAGAAAGCGACCGACTTGGGTTCAACTTGAGCTAAAATCAACCGGTGGTAGGCATATTTCTAGTGTGACTTTTACAGAAGCCGGGGACAGCGGCCGTGGCCCTTAGAGCGGGTGTCGGTTATTGTTAACCGCCCTTATCGCCACCTCTACATCAAGTGCACTCAAACACGTTTACCTCTCGCCCCCCACCTGACAAACTCTCGCGCCAGTCACGTGACTTGTAGGAGGCACGCGCCGTGAGAAAGCGACTCGTGCGTATTTCCGCGAAGTCGTGTAGTTTGTGAAGACTTCACAGCTACTTACTCTGATTTAGGGCTGGACATATTATGAGTTGATATTAAATAATGCAGAGATATGTTGATAGTTTGATAAGGTTATAAAGCTAATGATATATTGGTGTAGATCTTGACGCCAAATGGCGGCCAAATTCCCGCCATAAGAGCGAGAGTCAACAGGTGATGTAGATGATTTACAGTAAAGGCTCGTATTTCAATACAATGAATGTTCTGCCTTTGCAAAGTAATGAAAGCATAAATCTTCCTTTCGCAATTTGTTCAATTCGATTAAGCGATCCCGATGGGACGTTAGCAAAATCAAACTAAATTACGAGAAATCTTAATCACGTCTTCCTAAGAGACGGAACAAATTTGATGCGTTTTGTAAATAACTGCCCACACGGCATTAAGTTAGGGAACCTGCCAAAATTTAAATCCGTCACTTGCGCGTTCGATTAAAATTAAGATCCGAGAGCAACCAAGGCAGTTTGTAGCAAAGTAAACTAAGAACAGACTAGAATTCCCTTCGGCTGGAATAGACACGCGAAAATCAATATCACGGAGTGGGCGGGGAGATTGATGTCTTGATTGACAGGATCAACCAATCAGAGCGCGAGTTCCACAGATTGGGACTGAGGGTTACAACACCTGTAGGATTGCTGTGAAAAAGGGACGGATGCGCATGCGCAGGGCGGAACTCTTGAAGCATGGCGCTTTTGTTGAGCACTGAAACAGATGTGATACGACGGTATTACAAGCCTTTGCTATTGTTTCCGATTGTCAACGATAAAACGATTGCCTTGGCTATAAAGATTACTCGTTGATCGCGTTAGAGCATTTTCTGATAGCGCGCAGTAGAGAGCACACTTCTAGCAGCCCAATCAGAAGCACTAGTGTTAGCACAGCAATGCCGCGTTCGTTTCTTGTGAAACACAAAAAGTTGGAAGAGGTTGAGGAGACTTCAGAGCACAGGAGTGCGTTTAGAGTTGTAACTCCACGAAAAAACGGTAAGTTGATTTTTATATGATAAAAAGTATTAATGAAGATATACAGCATTGCACTTATCATTGAAGCCTATCGTTAATGGTTATATGATAAACCAATTTCCAATGCCGTGTCTTATATCCATTAAGGTTTATAAATATATTTAAACATTTTTCATGAAGAATGTCAACTATTTGGTGCGTGCCAAATATATACCACATTCGTATTCGTTGCTGAATTAATCTGAGTTGTTTAAAAAAGCTATTTATTTATTTAAATGAAGAATACATGGGGTAATTTTAAAATTTATTGTTTCCTTTTAAAGTTGGAGTTATCCTGACATTAACACTGCTTTAGATATATCTTAAATTATAAAGCATACAAAAAATAAGTGTGTCATTTTCCTAAGGGATTTTAAACCTAAGAGGTAAAATTAAATATTTATCATTTAAGCAGGAAAACATTTGTGAAGCACCCCCACTTCCTGCTTGGGATCCCAATTACTTTCTAACGGCTGTGTTTTTGTCGAGTGTGCGTCCTTATACCAACTGATCAACCATTCGCGTGTCATAACATCGAATCCGACTCATAAATATTTTCCCATCATCTTAATTAACTCCGGGTAGTACTCTCCATCACTTATCACAATGATAATGTGGATTAGCACTCGAGGGAGATTAGCCCTGGAGAATTAGAGGGGGGATGCCACATAAAACAACGGTGTTTTCACCTGCGTAATTATCCTCTACACCTGAGGTGGGTCAATATTGACCGGGCACCATTAATTATAACATATTAATTGCGATCGTAACGATCGCGACACCTTGCCTGAGTGGAATATTGTGAAACTGACACTATGTAAACATGCTACACGTGACCGGGGTATTTGTAATTAAAGGTGAAAAGCTTCAGGTGAGAAAGACAGATTTAACGCCAGTGAACAGGTATAAATTTACCGGCCCTCCGCTACTGCAGTTTGAGGATTTTTGCGTTGAATTTTGAAATATACAGGCAATATTTCTCGTGGATATATCTGGACTGAAGTAAGCTTTGATTTCTGTTGGTAATATACACCACGCACAGATCTCGTGCAACGGTAGTTTGTCAAATATCTCGACCGCTCCTTGTTTGAAGATAATACATAGGCAGTTCACAAATCAGAGCCTGTCACTCGAGATATATTTAATGGCTCTAGTTTATAACTACAGGTAACAATCTTGTGTTTAATTGTAAAAAGTCATAACATGTATCGTCTATGTGCAATGTATCTCTATCGCGGATACCTACAATTATCTTGCACTTCAATTGGGATTTGTTTTCATCATTACTTGGCAGTACGGAAAATGTGTGTATTTTATCCTCCCGCTTCAACGAACTCTGCAATAAATTATGTATGGGTTCAAAGATATTTTAAAGACTTATTTAAATTAATACAAGTTGTGTCATGTGCTTCATTAATATTTTATTGTATCACTTTGACTAAATCGCAGTTAAAACCAAAAAGAAACAATACCTATTTATGAAAAGAATAATAATGTGAACTAATCGATAACATTTTAGAATTTGCAATGACATCAAATGTTATATTTTGCAGAAATGGCATCCCCGGAATTGAAGAAACCGCTGTTAGATATGCCAGCGCCCGTTGGGTGCCCCTCCCTGGGGTTGGCCGCCATTTCCTCCCTGGAGAGACGGGACAAGGCAGCAGACATTATGGACCAACATTTGTCTCCAACCAAAGCAGAGACAAATACCCCAAATTCAGCGTTCAGCGCTTTTCGACCTTGGCTCAGCGAACCTACCCAGAACTCCAGAACTGCTCTTACTCTTCCATGTAAGTGTATTCAATTAAACTATTAATTTACATTAAAATAATACCGAGCAGACGTTTCCGAGGAAACAATTTTACATAATTGTTTATGTTTGAACAATATTAATTGTGAAGTCTTTTTTAATAAAAATTGATTATCAATATAGGTAGACATTGAAACTGTTTTCGTTCAATCAGATTCTTTCATGATGGATGCTTGTTTACGGATATCATATTTCGGATATTCACCCGGATTTGAAAGGGGTATTTTTCAAAGAATGAGGATATGATCTAGTTATTATCGAAATAATTTGTTGTTTTTAATTATATTTATGGTATATAATTGTGTTATAGATATAGACAATTAAGACAAATCATGTATCTGTTCGATCAAACAGTTCATGGTATTTGCCAGCATAAGCTGACGCTGTTGTTCAGCCACCGTGATGCTTGTCGGCAACCGCTGTTATTGACATAATTGTACATTTCACGGTTGTCGATTTCAAGAGGGACGCCGAACCAACAGGCATTAAATTTTAACGCTTGAAAGGGTCTTAAACTAGCACATGATCTAACAAATTAACGCCGCAAAAGGACACAATTTTCCATAGAAAAATACTAAATGGATTCATTTAGACTGACAAAGATTAACACTGTTTGAACAGATTGACACGAGAAATGAATCACTTGGACCTAAAACCTAGAGGCTAATTACAATATTGTTGATTTCATACGGCTACTTGGGAAATCGCGATGCATTATATCGCTGCTTGTCCTCATTTAATCAGGCGGCAAATGATAGACTACAACCTCCCATCATTAATAATATATGATACAAGACGTTTTAAGTTTTATGTTTGCAAGTTCTTACCAATCACTTTTCAAAACTGTAAGGATATATCCAACATAACCATTTCTGAGGGTTATTGTGAAAATTAATTTATTTAGGATTGTGATATTTTTAGAGAACTGATTCAGCACGACTTTCTTCCGCAGACAAGGCCGCTTGAAATGTACATATGTTAATTTCACAAATCAGCGCCTTCCATTGGGTTTTTCTAACAGACTGCGTGCACGTACTATTCCTTATCTCAGTATACTACACTTTGGACTCGATCCTGTAGTGACTTGCGATTTCTACTATATGACCATGCTGAAGGTCGTTTTGGTTGAATTATATGAAAAGAAACCGCAGTTTCAGTATCAGTGCGTGTATCGACTAAATGTCTCTCAAAAACATTGATTTATCTTGAAATTTACCGGCGTATCAACATCACTGGTGCTCCACAGAATTACTCTTTTGGGGATTCATTGTACTTGTCATGCAAATTTTCATCACTTGTTTGAAAAACACAAACGTTTGGAAACAGAACTGTAAAATGTATCGATCATGTAATTTTCAAGGCAACATTAAGTAAGTCTGAATAAGCGTGTGGTGTTAATATTCAATGTGGTAAGGGATTAGGGAAAATGAGACATTTGATTTCTCGATCAACGATGAATTAATTGGCTATTTGACCAAAGATAGATTTTTTGCGCAACAGAGAAGGCTTTAAGGTGTGTTTACTTTACCGTGAGATAGATAGGAAAGTTTCAACGTTTGTCTTGGTGAAATAGTGAGGATAATTATATCAGTGTCAAACGAAAAAGCGAAACACGTATTTTCAGGGTTTGCATTGGTAATGGAATAAATAGTTTTTACGCATTATTTTAAGGAACATCAGTTCCTTATTTCTCTGACAAAAATTTCATTATGAATTAGGCCACCTTTTTAGTTAGAGGAATACGGAGTTTTCTCTATCACAGTCACACTGTGATACATGCCAGAAAGACGCGTCTCTTATCACGTGACCTTGCCTCTTATGGCCACAGTTCCCACGTGTGAAAGTAGTGATTATACTATGATGATGAAATCGACACCATTAAGGACAGGACACTGTTTAATGATGATGAAATACAGAACTGACCATGACATATATGATTTGATGATGCAACTTTCAAACAGATGACCTCTGAAGTTATGATAGTTTCTAAAAAGAGAATTTGCTTTATCAGCAATTTAACCACACGCGTGTACTTTTTTTTCTCTTAGAGTAATTGCTCTTCCTACCAGGCTATCATTGTTACTACGTCTACTACCCCTGCTGCAACTGCTGCTGTTACTGCTGCCACAACGCAGCTATTAGTATATTACTAGTGTCACTAAGAGATTTGCTGACAATACTTCATTTACCGCAACCAACAGTCGTTAAAAGAGGTAGTTTCACTGTTGCAGTTTCTACTGCCAGTAATGTTGCTGCTACTGCTAATATGACTACTCTTGCTCCGCCTAATACAGCAACTTCTCTAACTATGGCTACTAGTGCTAAATACTAATACTTATCATCATTATCATCATCATCATCGTCGTCGTCGTCGTCATCGTCGTCATCGTCATGTATTCAGAAATCGATTCAGTTCAGTAAAATAAATCTTCTTTGTTTTAGGCGAGCCAGTGCGCAGTATCATACAGTCCACTGATTTCCGTGTGAGCTGTACAGACCTGTACCGCTATCAACTTCTCCACGGCCTGTACAGATCACCGCTAGAACTCTTCCCCTTTTCGACCCCCATCTGGCCCAACACCGGACTCTACCAACAATTCGACAAAAAGATGTGGAGCTACAATGTTCCAGCTCGGGAAAAGGGCGGAGAAAGTGTGAACCCCTCTTACGAAAAAGGCTCATTCGAATGCGTCAAGTGCCTGAAACAGTTTACGACCCCGCACGGACTTGAAGTGCACGTACGAAGATCGCACAGCGGCCGTCGGCCGTACGCTTGTGACGTTTGCAATAAGACATTCGGTCATGCCGTGAGCCTGACCCAACACAGAGCAGTACATAGTCAGGAAAAGAGCTTTCAATGTAACCAGTGCGGCAAGAGTTTCAAGCGGTCATCCACGCTGTCCACCCACCTCCTGATTCATAGTGATACAAGACCCTATCCGTGCCCATACTGCGGGAAGAGGTTTCATCAGAAGTCCGACATGAAGAAACACACGTACATCCATACAGGTAAAATCTCTCACAATTTAGTTAATTTATGCTCGATATTAGCTTTTTATCCAGAACTGCTACAAAATATTTTAAGTGAATTCTTTTATCACCCCGGGACATATGTATTCACGATATGTACGCAGTTGACTCTTGGGTTCTGAATACTTTGCGAAGGTAGATAACTCTTTTCGGAACAACCTTTTGCGTAAAGGTAGATAACTCATAATATTTTTTCAACACCACCTAAGAAAATCTCGAACATTTAGAACTTGGTATAATTGTCCAGATTTCATATCTGCATTGCGAGTAAATCGAAATTACCATGGTGATGCATGCGTACAGCCAGATTTCATAGAGTCTACATACTGAGCTATCCATGAAAAATAAACAACAACAATGTGTTTCATAACCTCAAATAAGAGACGCCAAATGTAATGAAAACTCGTTAACTCGATGTTCTGAACCATCGAAAATATACCGACAGACAGACAGACAGAAATATTTTATTACAGTGTCACATGATATGTTTCAGGTCACACAATGTTTCATATTTCTAGATAACACATATCACCCAGCCATAACACTGGCTTACGAAGCACTACTAAAATAAATTAACTAAAAAAATGTACAATATACAATCTGGACGATTGTGTTCATGACATATATAAAATAGTACATTGGTAAAATATATTAAGAATGTAACTGCCTTCTACGGAACATATCGTTAATAGCATCAGCTAAAAGTTTAAGAACCTTGATTTCAGTAGTATTCATTACCATAATAAATTTCAAATGATCACTATCATCTGGGCTAAAGCTAAATTCAAGATCATGGTAAAAAGCACAATTTAAAAGAAAATGGGTTTCAGACTCTACAGAATCACAAAAGGGGCATAATCTTTGATTTATGGGTGTTGGGGGTTTGCTATAACGTCCAATTTCAATATTGAGAGGTAAGATACCATAGCGTAATTTACTTAGATTACTTCGCCTATGTCTAGACATAATATATCTTACATACAGTTCTGGTCAACAATCTTTTTTAAACAACCTGTAAGTGCGTAACTTATTACCGTTAACCTTGCCTACGTCGTCCCAAAGCTCTGAAAACCACTTTTCCTCATCTAATCTACACAAACGTTGTTTAATGACTGATATTTTGGAAGTGATACCAGAAGTCGGCGATAACAAAGTATCATACAACAGCAAATGTCTATCCAATTTAACAAGGTTAAATGCAAAAGAACCTTTTCGATTCATGGACCACCTAAACACCTTATTGGTAAGCCTGTCCTCTGACACAGTAGAGTAAGATAGGCTGCACTGTTGATTCATAGAGTTTTGTGAACACATCATATGCCATATCTCCACACTGTCTATTTAGTGATGAGTAGAGACAGAGCACGGCTCGCACTTTTTGCGATCTCCTTTACTGTGAACTTCTTATCAAGGTGTTCCTCAAACCACAGTCCTAAGTACTTGTAACAATCACTGTATGATAAGGCCGTGTTGCAGCATCGAAACTGATAATTAGATCTATCAATGTTAACCCGTCTGAAGTGCACAACCTTTGTCTTATCCGTGTTAATACTCAGACGCCATCTAGAACACCGCCGTGTCACCACGTCCAACATCCGCTGTATGTCGCTGTCCGCAGTACATCCATACCGAAATGTTGAGGCAAGCGGAGTTCCTATTTCAGACCTTTGTTTTCACAAGGATTCCGCCTTGGTAATAACCTTAAACGGCTTTCGTTAGCGCTCCATTGGTTATGCCTTGTTCTCAGCTGTTTAATTCCTCATCCACGTATGTCTCGCGACTGATGTCACATTTACGTCACTGTAAACACTATTGTTTCAGCAACTGTATTTTTGCAGCGGGAACGAATTTGAATATATTTTGTAAAAAAAATATTGATTTCGATATGAAGCATGATATGCTAAATAGGTAGATCTAATCGTCCGTACAAGTGACTCTCGTTAAGTGCAACTGAAGTAACAATGCGTAGATATTCTGTAATAAATTTCTAGTTTGATTCAATGGCTTGAATTCATTAGGATCAATGCCGACCCATGAATCATCTGATATGTGCATAATTAATATGATTAACGATATATTTGCATAAACTGTCATGATAACAATCACAAGTGTTTTTTTATAAAACCAATCTAGCGAGAAATGGATGGTTCTGAAACATAAAATAAGTATATATTTACATGTACATTAACCAGTTAATGACAGGTTTAACGCAACGCAATATGATGAATTATGTATTAAATAACTCTTAACTCTTTGTAGCGGCGAACGTGGGTATTATATAATGTTACACTTACTTGAGTTTCCATATTTGACTTCCAGTAATCCGTTGATCACCAAATACGCTTTACTTGCTGGCAATTCATGGATATCATATCTATCGGGATCACTTACTGTAGGCCATCTGGCTACATTGTTAAAACTGCTATCGGTAGGTATTTAACATATTTATATTATAAAAAATTACTGTAAATATAATTAAGATTTTGGCTTCAACATAACTTCGATTTCAGCGATTTTATCCTTGTTGTTTAAGTTAGATAATGTTGTAAACGAACTTTCATGAATTTTATGCATTTAGCAGCTTCTGGCTTGGACTATCCCTGAAAATGTAGGCGTTTCAAATTTGATGGAAATAGATTGAAGAGACAAGTGACAATGGACGCAAATAGAACTGTGGGAATAATTGGCCTAACACGACTGGTGATATTGAATATTTCACCTTAAATAATTGATTTCAATCTTTTGTTAATGCTGGAATTTAAATAGCTACACACAGATAATGCTCCCATCCCTAGGGAAGACTCACAACAAGAAAACGTCACTCTCAGGATCTGTAATGAAATCAGGGCAACGCGACGGTTAGGGCCCTACTAGTGGACAGGGTTTAGCAGTAACACAATTATTCGTGTTTGATGAACACGGAGCTCGGGGTCTCGCTATAATCACATAATTAGTGCTCTTCATATTAACTCTGGCCTAATTACAGACATTGGGATTATGACAGAAATCTAATTGCGACATTTGGGATCTGGAAATACAAATATGGCGTCGAGATGAGAAAGGGCTCTCCAGACTCTCTCGTCTAAGTCTCGCGAGATTTGTCTTGATGTGTCTTCATTAGCGTCGATGTTGACCCTGTTTGCAGAAATAACACTCCAATTTTCTTTCTAATAACAGCTTTGCTCGTCCTTGCACCGCTGAGTTTCGGCAAACACGTAGCTTTGGCTTTTCGTTGTAACTGGTTCCTCTATGAATCAAAATCACCATATACATTGTCGACTCATTGTCGCAAACAACATAGACGTTATTGCTCTTATACGAAGCTCTTGCATACTTAATTACCGAAGACGCTAGCTGATGATAATACCCACTTTCTGGTTGACTGAGAGTATCGACTTCCACCGCTTTGAGTAAAACACGATCGATGTGTTACTTAACCTTCACATGTATTTAGTAATACTCCTATCAAGCTCTGTATTATTTCGTCTGTGTTTATGTACGCTTCTGTGACATGTGATAATATGTATTTAGGAATATAACAGAACCTCGTTAAACTGGATACTTAAACAACACACCGCCCAACAATTATCCGTGAGACCATGTGCAGTGCGGCTGGGTGGCGTTAATATTTACGAATATTTGATAATCTATCCATATTACATGTACAGTTTGGTTGTGATGAGCGGGATAAACAGCTCACATGTTTTTTCTGGTTATCTTATACTGCCACTATATTTGTGTAGTATTTAGCCTTATCTGTGAATTATGATCTTTAGCTAATATCTATAAATATACATTTTCAAGTATGCTGTCACCAATGGTATCGATTTCACAATGCTTTGTGTGCATATGTCTCATGTTATGCGTGAAGATTCTGTAGACGATATGATAATTAGCTTCAGGCTGAGCTATATCAACGGTAATTTTGTTTCGGTAAATAAAGGAAATATTCATCACGGTTACCCGTTATGCATACATTATATCAATGAAATGAACACATGTTGAAGATGTCTAGATTTCACATCAGCTGGAGCTACCCGTGACACGTCAGCAGAACTCTGTGACATGAGTAATACAAACTGACTGAACTTAGGGAACCTTTGTGCATTGGTTATGATATATAACATCTTGAAGTGATAAACATGCTGTAATAACCATTTCCACGCTGTAACATAGCATCACGCCTAGCGTATTGGTAGTTGCAATGATTTTAGTATTTAATAATTTTGGCTAATTAACGTAATTGCAGAAACTTAACTAGTACCCTCGCCGGAAGAGATTATAATAATACAAAAGACACGCAATAGTTGTGCGTATCAGGGTGACTCAACAGAACCATATTGAAATTCGAACCCAAACGTCAAGCGGGGTAGTCCACGCTAGGGTAACGTCTTCGTACCCCCAAACCCACACCCCACACCCCCACACCCCCACACCCCCACACCCTCCCATCCAACCAAACAAGAAAATAAAACTGTTCAAGTTGCGAAAGTTAGATGGATTGGCTTTCGTATTCTTATGGTTTTTGTTTTGTCTTTTCAGGAGAGAAGCCCTATAAATGCACTCATTGTGGAAAAGCCTTCAGCCAGTCATCGAATCTCATCACCCATTGTCGGAAACATACCGGATTCAGACCTTTCGGTTGCCAGAAATGTGGTCGTGCATTTCAACGGAAGGTTGACCTTCGCCGCCATCTTGAAACACAACACGCTGAAGAAAGAATTGACGAATCTAATTCAAGTATGGACCACGGTGCGGCTCGTGACGCAGCGCCGATGACGTCACCAGAAGTCTCTCCTGTCGGCAGAAACACCCCACTGAAATGTATTCCTCTTACGACACCGGAAGTGTCGCCTGTTTCCCAGCCTTCATCACAACGTGCTTCCCCTGTATCTTCAGTGTCATCGATTACGTCACCCCAGTTGTCGCCCTTTTCCCATGGGCAGAGAACTCCGCCTCTCATCCTGTCTCAGCCTCAGCGACTAGGAGAGGCAATAGACACTCACATGTCGGAGATGTAACCCCCACAAACTCTAAGAAACGATGCCGAGGTTTTCATATTTTCCATTTTTCCCCCGAAGTTTAGCTCTTGCTGAAGTTTCTTTTTAAACATATCCACGTGACTATTGTTGACAGTTCAATACCCGATGCTGTTATGTGCCATATTCCTCGCCAGTGCCAGTTATTGTCACTCTTTTCTCCTTAAAGATATTTATTTGTAACTTTTTTGCTCAAGTCCACAATAAGTATAATGATGTCATTAGGTCACACCAACATGTTGACAACTTGCTCAAATGATAGAAGCCTACATTGGTGTAGATCCGATTGACTCGAGAAGAGCTTGACCTCTCTTCGCAGTTTAGAACATTCATGTAAAGTAGTTTATCTATTGCAGATTTTCTTCTTTATCATTTCGTTTTTTCATGATTGTTACCATTCGACTGTTTGTTACAAACTGATTACTTGTTTGATATGTATATAAATGAATTTGAAAGTATTTGCGTGTAAATAAACGCATACTGCCGTAATACGTTGTTTGTTTTACCCGTACAGTATGGGCCATATGTGACCATATTCACAACGTCAAAGTTAATATGATCACCGGTATTCATATAGTTCAATCCCGCTTATACGGAAACCCCCTCCGGATGTCTTTTTTTGTCAAAAGCTGTATAACATGAGATTTCTCCGGATGTGGATTCATTTCGGAAATATAATCTGAGCAGTTTCACCTGAAATGTTTTCCAATCGGATTATTGGGATTGATAAACACACATATCATATAATATAACAATCACTTACACACACCTTTGCAAACATATACCGGCTACTGTAGGTACTGCACCATTAGAGGCAATTTTAAAAATGGTTCCTGAACTATTTTGATCCGGTTTTGGTTCCGAAAATATTCACCTGATACATTTCAATATCAAGGACTTTATGTTCCATTATTCCTGAAACTATTCAACATCTAGGACGCCAGCTTCAATTACTCACCAAACCGTTCAATCTCTAGGACGTCAGCTTCAATTATTCCTGATATTGTTCAACCTCTTGGATACCAGCTTCAAGTATTCCTGAAACTGTTCAGCATTTAAGACAACAGCTTCAATTATTCGTGAAAATGTTCACCCTCTAGGACATCAATTTCAATTGTTCCTGACGCTCTTTACTCTCTAGGACGCCAGCTTCAACTGTTCCTCAAACCATTAACTCTCTAATCCGTCTGTTTCAATCATTCCTGAAACTGTTCAACATCTCTACTCTTTACTCTCTAGGACACCAGCTTCAATTATTCACGAAACTGTTCACACTCTTGGACGCCAGCGTCAATTGTTCCTGACACTCTTTACTCTCTAGGACGCCAGCTTCAACTGTTCCTCAAACCATTAACTCTCTAATACGTCTGTTTCAATCATTCCTGAAACTGTTCAACATCTAGGACGGCAGCTTCAATTATTCATGAACTGTTCTTTCTCTAGGATGACAGATTGAAATATTCCTGAAGCTGTTCAACCTTTCGGATGCCATCTTCATTCCTGAAACTTACCTTGCTACAAGACTCCATCTTCCATTCTGCCTGACATTTATAATCCTTACTCATCGTCCATTATCCCTGTAATATGTTAACCGCTAGAACTGCATTTTCCTTTATTGACCGCTCAACCAGTACATCTTCCTTCACTTTCCCTGACATTATTCAATATCTAGAAGTTAATCTTTCATTATTCCTGACATCATTCAATCTCTAGAACTTCATCTTTCTTTATTCCTGTCATCATTCAATCTCTAGAACTTCATCTTTCATTATTCCTGACATCATTCAATCTCTAGAACTTCATGTTTCATTATTCCTGTCATCATTCAATATCTAGAACTTCATCTTTCATTATTCCTGACATCATTCAATCTCTAGAGCTTCATCTTTCATTATTCCTGTCATCATTCAATCTCTAGGACTTCATCTTTCACCATTCCTGACATCATTCAATCTCTAGAACTTCATCTTTCATCATTCCTGACATCATTCAATATCTAGGACTTTATGTTTCATTATTCCTGTCAACATTCAATCTCTAGGACTTCAGCTTTCATTATTCCTGACATCATTCAATCTCCAGAACTTCATGTTTCATTATTCCTGACATCATTCAATCTCTAGAGCTTCATCTTTCATTATTCCTGACATCATTCAATCTCTAGAACTTCATGTTTCATTATTCCTGACATCATTCAATCTCTAGAACTTCATCTTTCGTTATTCCTGACATCATTCAATCTCTAGACGTTAATCTTTCATTATTCCTGACATCATTCAATCTCTAGAACTTCATCTTTCTTTATTCCTGACATCATTCAATCTCTAGAACTTCGTCTTTCATTATTCCTGACATCATTCAATCTCTAGAAGTTCATGTTTCATTATTCTTGACATCATTCAATCTCTAGAACTTCATCTTTCATTATTCCTGACATCATTCAATCTCTAGAAGTTCATGTTTCATTATTCTTGACATCATTCAATCTCTAGAACTTCATCTTTCATTATTCCTGACATCATTCAGTCTCTAGAACTTCATCTTTCATTATTCCTGACATCATTCAATCTCTAGAACTTCATCTTTCATTATTCCTGATATCATCATTCAATCTCTAGAACTTCATGTTTCATTATTCCTGATATCATTCAATCTCTAGAACTTCATGTTTCATTATTCCTGATATCATTCAATCTCTAGAGCTTCATCTTTCATTATTCCTGATATCATTCAATCTCTAGAACTTCATGTTTCATTATTCTTCAAATCGTTCAATCTTTAGAGCTTCATCTTTCTTTATTCCTGACATCATTCAATCTCTAGAAGTTAATCTTTCATTATTCCTGACATCTTTCAATCTCTAGGACTTTATGTTTCATTTTCCCTGACATCATTCAATCTCTAGAGCTTCATGTTTCATTATTCCTGACATCATTCAATCTCTAGAACTCCATCTTTCATCATTCCTGACATCATTCAGTCTCTAGAACTTCATCTTTCATTATTCCTGACATCATTCAATCTCTAGAACTTCATCTTTCATTATTCCTGATATCATTCAATATCTAGAACTTAATGTTTCATTATTCCTGACATCATTCAATCTCTTGAACTTCATCTTTCATTTTTCCTGACATCATTCAATCTCTAGAGCTTCATCTTTCATTATTCCTGACATCATTCAATCTCTAGAACTTCATGTTTCATTATTCCTGACATCATTCAATCTCTAGAACTTCATGTTTCATTATTCCTGACATCAGTCAATCTCTAGAACTTCATCTTTCATTATTCCTGACATCATTCAATCTCTAGAACTTCATCTTTCATTATTCCTGACATCATTCAATCTCTAGAACTTCATGTTTCATTATTCCTGACATCATTCAATCTCTAGAACTTCATCTTTCATTATTCCTGACATCATTCAATCTCTAGAACTTCATCTTTCATTATTCCTGACATCATTCAATCTCTAGAACTTCATCTTTCATTATTCCTGACATCATTCAATATCTAGAACTTCATGTTTCATTATTCCTGACATCATTCAATCTCTAGAACTTCATGTTTCATTATTCCTGACATCATTCAATCTCTAGAACTTCTTGTTCCAGGTCAGTTCGATTCGTTCGGTTGTTCCTTTTGAATTTAGACATCCTAACTATGAGTTGATACATCTGGGTTATGAGTGTTCGTAATAATACACTTTTATTGGAGTAATCATTTCCACGTACAATTTTCTACGGAATATATGGATATGGACTCGTTAGTTTGTTTCTAAAAATAGAAAGGTTATTGTGTGGAAATGTCAACCATGCCACTACTACAACTACTTATACTATTTGAATAATTTGGAAACTTAAACAGAAGATTTTCGTTCACAATGACATGCTCTGAATAACATTGACATGGCTGAAAAGGTAAATTAGGAAGGTTATGTTAAGTATTTTAATACTGTGTACACCTTAATCGGCTAGGCACTGAAGAAAATATATTTTGATAGAAAAATCCATAAATCATCGGAACCATTGTCTGTGACTGCCACATACTTTGTGTTGTATACTAAAGTGGTCAAGGTCCGCTAGCCCTGCTACAGAACCCAGGTAACTGCCATTGACGACGCATTTGACTGACCGTTATCTCACACAATGCAGGTTAAATTTAAACATCCGTGTGAAGCCATTGACTGTGTTCATTCGTCAATTAATTCAAAATCGATTCATCAACACATGCTTATGATTTGGTCGGACTGGAAGTGTGGATGCTGTTTTTAGCGCAGATGACCAAGAAAATTGTTTGTCTCCCGTATCAACATTATTACTGGAAAGGATCGCAGTGTATAATAATGTTAACTTTGGAGGAAGATGTGAGTGATTTAACCATGTTAGTGTTGAAGATGACAATGCAATTGAAACGATGATTTGTGTAGAAGGTTGAAATTATGTGCTTGATATAAATACAAATATATAAAAGACTAAAGAAATTATAAATGAAGCATTAATCAGCACGTTCGTCAAAAGCTGCAGAAGGGAAAAAGAAACGCTGATTTGTGACGTACTTGTCGTCTCTTTTATTCATTCGCTCAGGCATCTGCCCGATTTCTTTTCAAGTACTTTCTAGGCGTCATTTCAGATGCAGTAAATGGTTTTTAAAATGCACGCTTTCTTGTGTCAGTTAATTATGATCAAAATCCTTCAATTTGGTTTCGATACTGTAATTAAGGCAATTGTCTAAGTTTAAATGAAGCGTCACATTTCAAATGCTTTACGGTTCTCTCAGGTTTAAACAGCAGCAGCTAATATGACATTTAAAATCAAACACGTTTCATGCCTGTGTACTGAAGTATTAACGAAATGCAACTTAATAAAGTAGGTATTGTCATGCTGTTATGAAGAAGTTTTAACCTCACGGTTTATCGGAAACAGAAAATCCTGTTTAAAATCTGCTCTAACTCGATTCCGTTCTTTACTCACATAAGGGAGGCGAAGAAAAGGAGGTGGAATGCATTATTTAAGTTCCACACATAGCAGAGGATCAATTACCAATATTGACAAATTGGTGGCGTTCTTGATTATCTAGTCTGAGGATGGAGGTGCAGAAGCTTATATAATTCATACTGAGTAATTCTCCACCTTGCGTTGCGCTGTACAGAGCTTAATTCGTGCTTTACTGCAGATACGCTATAAATAACATTTTGAAAAGTCGAAATATCAAGTTAAACAACGCATTTTTTGTATTCAGACAAACAAACACAAATAATTTATATGAGTAAAACATATATTTTATCAAATGGTAAATATACTTTTCCATTAAACAGAATGCGTCAATCTAAATAATGCACGTGACTCGGAGCAATATTAATCAACACAAAAGAATATAAAAACAACATATACAGAACGTCATATTAAAAGAGACAAAATCACTAAACTTGTAAGAGTAAAAATCTGGATTTTTAATTCCTCTTAGAAATCGTGGTAAATGT